TTCAAAGTCCATTGACATATGGCTTTGAAACTTTGCACCCTTGTTCACCATCATGACCCCAACCTGTAGACAGGGGGAGGTAACGGTATCAAGCATTTTGACAGAATTATGCCCCTTTTTCGACTAAAAATTTACGTTAAAGTTTTTGTAATACCTCAAATATTTTCAAAGTCAATTGACATATGGCTTTGAAACTTTGCACACTTGTTCACCATCATGACCCCAACCTGTAGACAGGGGGAGGTAACTGTATCAAGCATTTTGACAGAATTATGCCCCTTTTTAGCTCACCTGAGCACAAAGTGCTCAAGGGTGAGCTTTTGTCATCACTCTGCGTCCGTCGTGCGTCGTGCGTCCTTCAAAAAATGGCGTCAAACTTTTCAAACAACATCTCCTCCTAAACCAAATGGCCAATTGCAACCAAACTTTACAGAAATGATCCTTAGGTGGACCCCTTTCAAAGTTGTTCAAAAATTTAAATTCCATTAAAAACTCTGGTTGCCATGGCAACCAATAGTAAAAACTTAAAAAAATCTTCTTTTAAAAAACCCTAAGAGCTAGAGCTTAGATATTTGGCATGAAGCATCTTCTAATGAGTGTCTACCAAGTTTGTTCAAATCAAAGCCCTTGGGTCAAAATTGGCCCCGCCCCAGGGGGTCATTGATTTTCCCTATATGCATATAGTAAAAACTTAGAAAATCTTCTTTTAAAGAACTCAAAGAGCTAGAGCTAAGATATTTAGCATGAAACATGTTCTAATGGGTGTCTACCAAGTTTGTTCAAATAAAAGCCCTAGGGTCAAAATTGGCCCCGCCCCGGGGGTCATTGATTTTCCTTATATGTGTATAGCAAAAACTTAAAAATCTTCTTTGAAAAAACCCATATAGCTAGAGTTTAGATATTAAGCATGAAACATCTTCTAGTAAGTGTCTACAAAGTTTGTTCAAATAAAAGCCCTGGGGTCAAAATTGGCCCCGCTCCAGGGGGTCATTGATTTTCCTTATATGTGTATAGCAAAAACTTAAAAACTCTTCTTTGAAAGAACCCAAATAGGTAGAGTTTAGATATTAAGCATGAAACATCTTCTAGTGATTGTCTACAAAGTTTGTTCAAATAAAAGCCCTGGGGTCAATATTGGCCCCGCCCCGGGGGTCATTGATTTTCCTTATATGTGTATAGCAAAAACTTAAAAATCTTCTTTGAAAAAACCCAAATAGCTAGAGTTTAGATATTAAGCAAGAAACATTTTCTAGTGAGTGTCTACCAAGTTTGTTCAAATAAAAGCCCTGGGGTCAAAATTGGCCCCGCCTCAGGGGGTCTTTGATTTTCTCTATATGCATATAGTAAAAACTTAAAAAAATCTTCTTTTAAAGAACCCAAAGAGCTAGAGCTAAGATATTTAGCATGAAACATGTTCTAATGGGTGTCTACCAAGTTTGTTCAAATAAAAGCCCTGGGGTCAAAATTGGCCCCGCCCCGGGGGTCATTGATTTTCCTTATATGTGTATAGTACAAACTTAAAAAATTGTCTTTTAAAAAACCCAATGAGCTAGAGCTTAGATGTTTAGCATGAAACATCTTCTTATTGGTGTCTACCAAGTTTGTTCAAATAAAAGCCCCTGGATTAAAATTGGCCCTAACGGGGGGGGGGGGGGGGCAGTAGATCATTGTTTTTCATTATATGTGTGTAGTAAAAACTTAACATTGTGAAACATCTTCTAATGGGTGTCTTCCAAGTTTGTTCAAATAAAAGCCCTGGGGTTTAAACTTGCCCCGCTTCGGGTGCCTTTATACAGGTGAGCGACCTCAGGGCCATCATGGCCCTCTTGTTTGACTTAGAATTTATGTTAAAGTTTTTGTAATACCTCAAATATTTTCAAAGTCCATTGACATATGGCTTTGAAACTTTGCACACTTGTTAACCATCATGACCCCAACCTGTAGACAGGCGGAGGTAACTGTATCAAGCATTTTCACAGAATTATGATATCTGACATATGGCTTTGAAACAAGTTGAAATTTTATACTCTTCTTTGAGAGCATAATAGGACTCTCTCCAAGGCCTATGTCTGTCATAAGGATTTAAAGAAAAATTTTACCCTTTTCTTATTAGAAAATTTTACATTATCAAGGCTTTTTTACTATCAAGCACTTAGAATAGTCGAGCATTGCTGTCCTACCGACAGCTCTTGTTACACATTGAAATTTGTCCGGGACATAACTCTAAAACCAAAAGGGGTATCAACAAGAAATTTTATAGGTAGATAGATCTCAATAAGTAGATGTGCAGTGCACAAGAACCATAACTCTGGCTTGCCTAATTTTTGGAGTTATTGCCCCTTGTTCACTTTTTCACTGAACTTTGTCCGTGACATAGCTCTAAAACCATAAGAGGTATCAACAAGAAACTTTGTAGGCATATAGATCTCATTTAGTAGATGTGCAGTGCAAAAGAACCATAACTCTGCCTACCTTAATTTTGGAATTATTGCGCTTCATTCATTTTTACACTTAGAACATTGTCCAGGACATAGCTCTGAAAGTGTAAGAGATATGAACAAGAAACTTTTTAGGTAGATATATCTCATTGGGTAGATTGGCATTGCAAAAGAACCATAACTCTGCCTTGTCTTATTTTTGGAGTTATTGCCCTTTGTTTCTTTTTTCACTTTGAACATTGTTCAGGACATAACTCTGAGAGATATTAACATAAAACTTTGTCGGTAGATAGATCTCATTAAATAGAGGTGCAGTGCAAAAGAACTGTTACTGTAACGTTATTGCCCTTTGTTCATTTTTACACTCTGTAACATGAAACTAAGTTTGTAGATAGATATCATCGAGTAGAAGTGCAGGGCAAAGAACAGTAACTCTGCCTTGCCTAATTTTGGAATTATTGCACTTTGAACTTTGTCCGGGAGATAACTATGATACTTCAAAAGGTGTACTTTTCTGTGTCCAAAACCTTGAATACTTTAAAAAATCAATTAATATTGCACTATGGCCTTATCTTAACATTATACAAATCTGCACATTGTCTTTCATTTGACATGCTGAAATATGACCTTGACCCCCAAATTCACTAGACACAAATGTATTATGGCGAAGTTCAAATATATAGAAACAAAAAAGATCTACTTCTGTTATATTAATGCATTGGCATAGCATATTTTGACAAATGCAATCTTGTTTTGTTTTGATTTTTTAAAGAATTGACACAGTGAGCAAATAGGTATTTTTGTTAACGCTAATTTGACTGATTGTCCAAAGTAGGTATACAAACATAGGCAGCTTAACAATAACATGTGTAAAACACTGAAAACATACTTGTAAGCTATATATATATCAATAGGAAAATTGAAAACAAAGATTTACCTCAGTAACCTATGAAAGCTATTAATCTCTGACAATAAGAGTAGTCTCTCTTTTTCAGCAGAATAATGAAAAAAATAGAATTATGTTCAACAAAATTGTTCAAATTAGATTATCTAAAATTAGATAACTGCCAAAATTGTGAAATTTTCCCTACGGGGAAAATTACTTGATAAATGGTATGTACAGCTGTCAAGTTATTTGTATCTTATGGCTGCAGATAACAAATCCAACATATGCAGTTACAGTCCCCTTGTGGAAACAAAATTTATCTATTTGATAGCAAATTTAAAAATTGTTTCCAAGATAATGAAGGGTAAAAACAGTCATTGTTCAGAATATACATGTGCAATGAAGGGTGAGAATAGATTACTTAACAAAAAAGTACTTTTAAGAGGAAAGTATTTGTGAAGATTTGTTAATAATTCATATTACAACATTGATCATTTCAGCGTTTGCAGATTTTTCGTGTAGTTGTTCCATGGGAGGAAGAGAGAGGCATTGTTCAAAATACACCACAGGTTCTATGTTTTATAACAAGATTTGCCAAAAACGAATTTATTTCTTCAGATGCTATGTCTAAACTTAGACAGGTAAATTTCATGAAGTACATTCATAATAACGTTTATTTGAACATTCATTTTATAGCCAGACTATACAAAGTATATTGAGTGCTGTTGTACTCATCTTGGCATCAGTTTTTTAGCACAGCTTTACAAAGTATATGGAGAGCTGTCCAACTCGCCCTGGTGTCCGCTGTTCAGATTTCAGAATTAAAGTTTTATTGTAGTAAAATATTTTTACTATAACCTATTTAGTCCCCTACTGTTTTAGCTTTTACCCTCCGTCCACAAACTGGATCCCGTGATAACTCATAAAGTACTGAAAATATTTTTTATGAAACTTGAAATATGGGTAAATGGCAGACTGGAGGATATGCACATATTTTTCTTTACTTCTTATTTTGAAAATTTTTGTTGCTATTTGCAACTTACATAAAATATAGCAAATATAACACAAAAACTAGATCACGTGATTACGCAAATTTTTTTATGCAACTTGAAATATAGGTAGATGGCAGTCAGGGGATTATGCACATCTTTTTTCCCCTATGTTTGAAAAATTTCGTTGCTATTGGCAACAAAATAGACTAGAAATATGGCAATATATGTCAACATTTGTGATAACTCAAAAAGTACTGAAAAATATTTTATGAACTTGAAATATGAATGGATTGCAGTATGGAGATTATGCACATCAAGGTTCACAACTGTAGCACCAAAATATTTTGATTTACCTCCCTTTGAAACTTAGAATTCCCATGAAAAATGTTTTTATGCCCCCCTTTAAAGAAGATGGGGGGTATAATTGTTTTGCTAATGTCAAAGTGTGTCTGTCGGTCTGTCTGTCAGTAGACCACAGTCATGGTTTCCGCTGATTATTTTGAAAACTATATAGCATAAAATCTTCATATTTCACATACTGATTCGCCATAACTTGTAGATGACCCCTATTGATTTTGGGGTCACTAGGTCAAAGGTCAAGGTCACAGGGGCCTTAAAATTAATGACAGAAAGGTTTCAGCTGATAATCTTGAAAAACTGTTTATCACAAAGTCTTCATTATCATATTTCACATACTGATTGTTCATAACTAGTAGATGACCCCTATTGATTTTGGGGTCTCTAGGTCAAAGGTCAAGGTCATAGGGACCTTAAATGTCTGAATAGCTTCTGCTGATTATTATGCTCCCCGAAAAATTTTCGGGGGAGCATATAGTCCTCGGGTTGTTCGGCCGTCGGTCAGTCCGTCCGTACGTCCCGAATTTCGTGTCCGGCCCATAACTTTGTTATTTTGAAAGTCGGATTTTAAAACTATTTCACAGAAATGATCACCATATTGAAGACGACGTGTCACGCGCAACATTTGGATCCCTACCTTGAAGGTCAAGGCAAGGTCACAGCATGACCTTGAAGCAAAATCGTGTCTGGCCCATAACTTCCTTATTTGAAGTCTGATTTTACAACTATTTCACAGAAATGATCACCATATTAAAAGACGACGTGTCGCGCGCAACATTTGGGTCGCTACCTTGAAGGTCAAGGTCACAGCATGACCTTGCATCAAAATCGTGTCCGGCCCTTAACTTTGTTATTTGAAGTCTGATTTTACAACTATTTCACAGAAATGATCACCATATCAAGAGGACGTGTCGCGCGTGCAAGTCAGTTGTTAGATCTCATTGAGTAGAAGTGCAATGTAAACAACAGTAACTCTGCCTTGCCTAAGTTTGAAATTATCACATTTTGAACTTTATCTGGGATAAAACTCTCAAAACTATGAAAGATATACTTTTCTGTGTCCAAAAACCTAGTTGGGGAGCATTACCCGGTTCAACCGGCTCTTGTCTGAAAAACTGTTATCACCAAGTCTTAATATTTAACATAACTAGTAGATGACCACTATTGATATAGGGTTACTAGGTCAAAGGTCACATACTGATTGGACATAACTAGTAGATGACCCCTATTGATTTCTGGGTCATTGGGTCAAAGCTCAAGGTCACAGGGGCTTTAAATGTCAGAATGGTTTCCGCCAATTATCTTTAAAACTATTGTTCACAAAGTCTTCTTATTTCACATACTGATTTTGTCATCACTACTAGATGATCCTTAATGATTTTGGGATCATTAGGTCTAAGGTCAAGGTCACAGTTGCCTTAAATGTCAGAATGGTTTCCACTGATTATCCTGAAAAACTATATATATCAAAGTCTTTATATTTTACATACTGATTGGTTATATTTAGTATATAACCCCTTTTGATTTTGGGGTCACTACATTAATGGTCAAGGTCACAGGGGCCCTTATATGTCAGAATGGTTTCCGCTGATTATCTTGAAAACTGTTCATCACAAAGTCTTAATATTTCACTCAGTAATTGGCCTTGAATGTTAGTATGGTTTTTGCTCATTATCTTTAAAGCTATTTATCACAAAGTCTTCATATTTCACATTATAAATTGTCATAACTAATAGATAACCCCTATTGATTTTTAGGTCATTAGCTTCTAAGGTCAGGGTCACTGGTGTCTTAAATGTCAGAATGGTTTCCGCTTATTATCTTGAAAGCTATGTATCACAAAGTCTTTTCATATTTTACATTGTGATTGTTCATAACTAGCAGATGACCTCTATTGATTTTGGGTTACTAGGTCTATGGTCAAGGTCACCAGGGTCTTAAATGTCAGAATGGTTACCGCTTATCTTCTTGAAAGCTATTTATCACAAAGTCTTAATATTTCTAATATTGATTGGTTATAACTATTAGATGACCCCTTTTTATTTTGGTGTAACTAGGTTACAGGTAAAGGTCACAGGGGCCTTGAATGTAAGTATGGTTTTCGCTCATTATCTTGAAAACTATTTATCTTCAAAGTCTTCATATTTCACATATTGATTGGTCATAACTAATAGATGACCCCTTTTTGATTTTTGGGTCATTACTTCTAAGGTCAAGGTCACTGGCTGTCTTAAATGTCAGAATGGTTTCTGCTTATTATCTTGAAAGCTATTTATCATAAAAGTCTTCATAATTCACAATGTGATTAGTCATAACTAGTAGATGACCTCTATTGATTTTGGGGTTACTAGGTCTAAGGTCAAGGTCACCAGGGTTCTTAAATGTCAGAATGGTTTTCCGCTTATTTTCTTGAAAACTATTTATCACAAAGTCTTAATATTTCTCATATTGATTGGTTATTAGATGACCCCTTTTTTGATTTTGGTGTAACTAGGTTACAGGTAAAGGTCACACAAGCCTTAAATGTCAGGATGGTTTTTGCTCATTATCTTGAATACTACATATTACAAAGTCTTCATATTTCACATATTGATATTGGGATCACTATGTCAAAGGTCAAGGTCACAGGGGCCTTGAATGTCAAAAAGGTTTCCGCCCTCATTATTATGAAAACTATTTATCACAAAGTCTTCATATTACACATATTGAATAGCCATATGTAGAAGATGATCCCTATTGATTTTGGGATCACAAGTTCAAAGGTCAAGGTCACAGGGGCCTTTAATGTAAATATGGTTTCTGCTTATTACCTTTGGAAACTTTTTTT